ATGGCGTGGGACTCTGTTATCACTGGCCCACACAAACAGTGTGTTTTGTTTAGTTATTAACAAATCGGTGAGAATCATTAAAACCAAAACCAGCTCATGAGAATCTGGGTTTAGATATGTCCCAGGTAACATCATGGCACTATATAAAAGAAAACATACTTGGTAAATCAACAGTGAAGGCATCTGGCTTACAGTGTTTGGGCATTTCTTCGATTCTAATATGTTTGATCATAATAGCTTTCCAGTGCCACTCTCAGAAGGAAAAAAAAATATCACCACACACTAAATGGTTTATCTATTAAAATTAACTTCCAGAGTTCTCAATTGTAAGCCATACTTTCATCCTCAAAAGAATCTGTATGCTGAACCACACTGTAATATATTATGTGCCACACACAGCACTGAATCCACCCAAGTCAGAAGCCTTTCTGTCCCAGGAGGAGAGACACCATTCCATGTTACTTGCCTTTCCAGGCTCACACTCGGTTCCGTCAGCCCAGGGTGTGTGCTGAGTCCTGCAGCCTTTGTGTGCTCCATCCACATTATTGCACCAGAGTCGTCTACATTGCATCTGTTCCGTTCAGGGGAAGACAAGACACAGTGTGAGCACACAGGGCAAGAGTTCCTTTCAACTCACACTTTGCCAGGGGTAAAAGTTGGCTTGCAAAAGGATGTTTTTTTCTTGGTATGATATATTCATCATTATAAACTATTCCAAAATGCAGCCACCTAAGACACATTTCTGTTCTGGTGAGAGATATAGTTCTGTAAAAGGGAATAGCCTGAAGAAGCCTCTGAGTCATACATGTCATCACAGGGTCCTTTATCTGCATACCCTCTTATATTAATGATGAGGAAAGTGAGGTCCAGTGGGATGAGGGATCATTCTCAGAACTACACTAGAATTCTGAAAATGGATGTGACTTGAATTTTGCTTTGTCTTAGCTCCAAAATTAGTGTGTATATGCATGCTTACCTGTGTATGTGCATGTGCGTTTGCATGGATATGTGCATGTGTGTGTATACCATGATCATGTAAGGAGCCATTTTTAAGATCTAAAGGTTGTAGGAGGAAATACAGAAAAAACTCAATAAAATATATTTCACACTTCTAAAAAAGTATAGTGGGTAGTTATGTTCTCATCATTACCAAGTTAAGGAAAAGAAAATTCGCAAGCAAGCTAAGGCCTTGTATACTCATCCTGCATCCCTCTCCTGCTCCTTTTACCCCAGAGGTAACCCTGTCTTCAGCAGTGCTCACATCTTCAGGGTTCTCTATGCTTCTGTGCAGATGTTTAAAAACCCACCAGGGATACACAGCACTGAAGCTTCCTATCAACAGGAGCACACAACACACCTTGCAATTTCCTTCCTTCCTTCCTTCCTTCCTTCCTTCCTTCCTTCCTTCCTTCCTTCCTTCCTTCCTTCCTTCCTCTACTGAGTTCTTCTTTGGGGACTTATCCCCATGGACAGATGGATGGAAGTGTTTCAAGGTAGAGTCTTCAATGCATGTGTGTGCACAAATGTGTGCATTGGTGTATGTTCAGGTGTGCTCCGCACATGTGTGTGTGGAGGCCAGAGGACAGCCCCAGTGTCATCTTCAGGAACACCACCTACATTCTTTGAGACAGGCTCTCTCATTGTCATGGACCTTACCAGTTAGGCTAGACTGGCTGGCCAGTGAGACACTGTTTTTTCCTGTCTCTGCCTCCCTGGGAGCAAGCCAGGGCTACCACACAGCGTCTTCACATGGGTTCTGAGGACTAAACTCAGGGCTTCCTGCTCTCAAGAGAAGTGTTCCAGGGCCGGGCGGTGGTGGCGCACGCCTTTAATCCCAGTACTTAGAAGGCAGAGCCAGGCGGATCTCTGTGAGTCCCAGGAAAGGCGCAAAGCTACACAGAGAAACCCTGTCTCGAAAAACCAAGGGGAAAAAAAAAAAGAGAAGTGTTCTATCAACTGAGCCAAACCTCCAATCCTTCCAGGTATACTTTTAAAAAATGATTCTATATTTTAATTTTATCCTAATTATTTAAAAAATACTTACAGGAGAAAAGTTAATAGTTACCAGAAATTCATTTTTAGAAACAGAAAAAGAAGCCTCCAACCACCTGTATTTTGGGTACTTTCCTTTCTCCTTTTGATGTTGAAGACGTATGCTATCAAACTGTTTATTATGGAGTATATTCCTAAGTATCTAACATTTACACTGCTATGTAATAGTTCACTGAAAGAAGACACTAAAATGTGCTTGGTCTTTCTCCCATTGGCCTTTCCCCACCCAATGATGTTTTGAGACAGAAATACATGGTTCATGCTAAGACTCAGGATACCTCTCTATCATCCTGCCTCAAACTCCTGAGTGCAAGGATTATAGGCCCTACCATATTCAATGGCTTAATTTTTGTACGAGTGACAGAGAAGTGGACATTATTTTGGATGTAGTTATTTGAACTTTTAAAATCATTTCTGTGGATTCCTTATATTTTCCAATTTACCAACCATTGCCAGAATATCCCTCTTCAGCAAAACAAACATACATTTCCCAAAGCCACAACCCAAGGCATCCCACGAAAGCCTAAGTCTGCTTACCTACAGAGATCTTTGACTCATACATTAAAATACCACTCAACCAGCCAGCCAGCCAGCCAGTCAGCCAGCCAGCCAGCTAGATGATGACCAGAAGTAAACTGAAGACCAGCTGGTCACAGAATACAACCTAACACGTTAATGCTGGGCACCAGAGTTGGCTCAGGAATTACTTGTACCGGATCTGGAAGAGTCCCTGTAATTCAGGTCACTTTACAAGCTACAGGGCATAAAAGGAGAACAGTGAACTGGCCTCCACAATCTTGGGCTTACTTTCTGACTTTCTGCCAAGTGACAATGGCATCTCCCCTTTGTGCCATCGCTGACTTTCTGCCAAGTGACAATGGCATCTCCCCTTTGTGCTATTGTGAGAGCGCCGTGAGGAAACTCAGGCTGAACGCTGCCCTACTGAGCCCACCACGGCCTCATAACCCCATCACAGGCACTGCCACCGTCAGCAAGGTCACTGTGAACCTGTACCTGGGTAACTGATGTAGAGTGAGAACCCAGTGGGAAAATGTGACCACAAACAAGTCCGGAATCAACGGCCGAGGGCAGAAACTACCCCCGACTTAACACTTACCATATATGGGCACACCTGAGAACCTGGCCCAAAAATCAATTCACATTGTTTATTCACGTTGTAGAGGAGGCCTGGGAGTTGGGAAGGCAAAGGGTAGGTTCTGGATTCAGGTTCATTCAACAAGCACTCGCCATACCCAGTGCTACGGGAAGCAGAAACAGACAGATGATGAGATAGGTTCCTGAAGGTTGCAGATGGGGGTGAAGGGCATGCACACACCTAGTGGCTGCAAGAACTGTTCCTTTTGGCCTTTGCTCTGTTCTCTTCACCCAAGGATAAATCAAGGGTAAGTCTAGAAGCTAAAGCTACATTTATTATTATTATTTTTTATTTATTATATATACAGAGGATGGTGCCAGATCTCATTACAGATGGTTGTGAACCACCATGTGGTTGCTGGGAATTGAACTCAGGACCTCTGGAAGAGCAGTCAGTGCTCTTAACCTCTGAGCCATCACTCCAGCCCACTAAAGCTACATTTTTGACACATACTCTGTAGAAAGATATTCTCCACATAGGACAGAGCCAGGAGGAAATATAGTGTCTGAGGGAGCACCAATCTCCTGCAGGGGTCATTATCTGCTTTTTTTTTTTTTTTTTTTTTTTTTTTTTTTTTTTTACAGTCCTTCCCAATAGACTGTAAGGATCTTAGGGCCACAGCTAGCATCTGTTTATTTCTGTACAGGGCCCAGTCTGTAGCAAGAGGTATTCACTGTTGGCTGAACAGATGACTCATAGCAGGAAAGCATCTCAAGCTACCTGCTTAGAAGAAAAACAGCAGCCCTCAGTTTCATTCAGGTTTCTGCAAACATTTCTTCTGGAAAATTTACACCAGGTAAGTTCTAATGAAGAAAGCCCACCCCTCCCCTGCATCTGTTGTTACAGAAATGTAAACCAGTGGACTTTGGCAATTGCTTAACCTCTGCACTTCTGGGAAAGGAGAGCACCAATTCTGTGATATGTGGACCTTGTATAATGTAATTGGGTCTTTGAGGAAGCTTTAAAAAAAGGTAAAGGGCATAAAGAGAAAGGAGAGAGAGAGAGAGAGAGAGAGAGAGAGAGAGAGAGAGAGAGAGAGAGAGAGAGAGAACATGCCCTTATTTCTACCACAAACTCTCTTCTGGCAACCTCTCGCTACCCCATTCCTTCCAAGCCAAGATTATTAGGTTAGCAGTACATCATCACAGCCTTCTCCGAAGACCTGAATAAATTTCAAAGCATTACACAAATGCAGAAATATTTGCATATTCCCTTTAAGAACCCAACTCTTTGCTCAGAGCAGTTTGTAATTTCCAAACACTGGCAAGGCTATGCACTAACAGATGTCATAGGGTAATTTTTTTCCTGCCTCCAAGGAATGTTATCAAAAACAACAACCCAAAAGGAATGCTAAACTCTGCATTTTCTTTCCATTAATGGTTTACTCTGTATAGACCAGGCATTAGATTAGTGATTCTCAACCTTCCCAATGCTGCCTCCTTTTAGTTCAGTTCCTCAGGTGGTGGTGACCCCCAATCATAAAATTATTTTGTTGCTACTTCATAACTATAATTTTGCTACTGTTATGAATTGTAATGTAAATATCTGATATGCGACCCCTGTGAAAGGGTTGTTCAACCTCCAAAGGGGTCGTGACCCACAGGTTGAGAACTCTTGCACTAGGGGCTGTTACTAAAAGAAAGTTTTCAAGTCTTACTCCAAGAACTCAGTGATGTATTTTCGACTGCACTTGGACCACATCCAAGGATTGGTGTAGAAGTTCAGTGTCGGCGCCATGACATGCTGGGGGCTCTTCACACCTTCTTCTTTGCATTTATTGCTGTCATCATGAGGCATATTGAACCTAAAGTCGATGAGACAATGGTGGGAATGTCAGTGTACCCTAGTGGTTCATGCTGGCTCTGTTGCATCCAAGAGAAAACTGCAACTGCCTATTGTGCTATGGAAAAGCATCTGAGTCCAGGTGAGCAGAATAAACTGTAAGACAATTCAAGATGGAAAATAGAACACAAGGGCATTTTTATTCAATTTAATATAAGGCACCTTTAGTGAATGCACAACCATTTGTTGGGTTAAGTATGCTTTTTGGAATTGCAGAGGCTCTGAATGTGCTGTAGTTGGTGCTAGAATACAGTAGTTGGAAATCCTAATAGACAGTTAAAGGGTAATCCATAGAGTCAAGATTTTGGTGGGATGCTATACTATGGTTGATATAAAAAAAGAAATTGGTGTAAAAAATGGAAGCTAAGTGCTTTGTAGTAAGAGGATCCTTGTGGACCTTGCATCTCCCATTTCTGGGCTGGGGTTGACAAGTGATACACCTGTGTTTATCAAGTAAAGTGCCATTATGAAGGTATGTAAGGTGTGTGCATGAACTCAAAAGAAGTCACACAGAGACCCCAGGCACACAAGGGCAGCCAGCTGAGGGAAGAGATGGCACAGCGATTCACATGCCAATGCCAGCTGACAGGAGCCGGCTTCCTGAAGAGCCCGGCACAAGAAGATTCTTAAACTCTTTCCCGTTCTGCCTGAGGGAAGGCTGTGGAGCAATGCCAGTGTCCTCTTGGGCTTGGGCGGGTGACAACAGCGTTCACACATACTTTCCATTCTTGGCTTCACCAGAGGAAGTGGGGGGAAAATGATAGCATTTCCTCAGTGCACACCCCCTCCATGACCCACATGGCCTTCCAGCCCAGGCAATTATCCACCAGGTGACAGGGTCAGAGGGTCATCTTTTCTCTCTGGGAAAGACTGCTGTCAATCAGAAAACTGAGCTGGTGGTTAATTTAGCACCGAGAGAGGAATTCCCTTCTCTAGTTCACGCTGAACTCGGGAAACGTGAGTGAACTAGAAGGGTGTAGACCTGTTTCTTATAAAGGAGAAATCTGGACTAAAGCCTGTGCATCTGCTCCACTAATTCTTTCGTGTTCTGTTTTTTGTTTCTTTTTTTTTTCTTTAAAAAATGTGGGTCCTTCAGTTTGCCAGTAGAGACGGGAAAATGTGATCTGCATTAGACGAATTTACCAAGTTTGTCATACTGAAGAGGTCATCTCTTCCAAGAAGATACGCTCCGGCTTGTGGGTTCCAGCTACGGAGTCAACCTAACACTGACTCAAGCACACCTCAGGCCAAGGTGAGCATTCGAACCCCACCTGGCTTCTTTCCCTAAGGTAGACAGGCGCTGCCCTTTATGCCCAACTCGCCATAACTAGCTAAAATCAAGTTCACTTATTTTATCATACAAATAAACAGAAATGTATTTTTATTTAAATAAGCTCACTGCTGGGGCTATAATACCTATTTTTTGAATAGTTACTGATTGATAATAACTGAGACTGTTCACATCCATAGTACACCAGGATGCGTATTCTGGGTTTTAGATGCTCTGTTTCGTAACTTATTGATACAGGGAACAGTACAGTTGACTCACTGCATCCGAGGGTCACACATCCACAGGTTCCATCAGTTGTGGATGGAACATATTTAGGGGAGAGAGCAAACTTGTGTTGGTATAGAACGTGCATGGAATTCCCTCTCCCCTAGTCAATAGAATATAATAGCTATTTTTGTTGTATTAGGCATTATGAGTCATCTAAATATTATTTAATGTATATGGCAAATAAGGACAGGTGACATGAAAATTCAATGCCTCTTCATAAAAAGGGCTTGAGTACCTGCGGAGTCTGGTATTTACGCCAGGTCCAGGAACCAGCCTCCCACAGACAGCCAACAATGAGTCTACTATTCCCTACACTTTGTAGACGAGCAACTAAGGCAGAGAGAGCTTTCATCACCTGATAATTCAGGTCAAAGTGTCACTCAGATGGGGAACCTGGAAATATAGGTCATCTTGAGGATCCTCTGCATTTCATGACTATGTCTCAGGAATCAGAAAGGCCACGGAGATGTTGACTAAGCCAGTCTGGCCTGCCTATGCTGAAGTCCTGGATTACATTCTAAACATTAGATCTGTGATAAAGTTTCCTTGGGAGGAAACAGCAAAGGTGTATGAAAAGGGAAAGGGTGAATGGCACTTGTGGAATTGAACTTCTGGGTGTGTGCCTGCAGCGTGTACGGGTGTGCATACATCCTGCTCCACACCCGGCACAGCATATACAAGAGGTGCTTGAAAAGCATTTGAACTGAAAAAGCTTTCTTTTCCGTGATAATGTTAGCTGTGTACAAAGCTCGAATCTGACCCAAAAGGATGTACAGCAGCTCCACTACACTAATGATTCTCTTGAGAAAACAATTTTAAAGATACAAATGATATGCACTCTAATTATTTTAGAAACACACTAGTGTGTTCCCAAATCAGAATAATTTCTGGTAAATTCACACTGATTTGCCCTGTCTCCTCTCTGTGCTCTTTCTCAGATAAACAAACAAGGAGAGTTATCTCATAATGGCCACTTTCTGGTTGTAATCTGGAAATTGAATCTTTCTCTGCAGCATTGTTCATCTTCTTCTCTGAAGGAGGGACATCGCTGTCTTAGATGCTAACTGTCTGAGTTATAGCCGTGTATAACCAGAGTTCGGAACGATCTGGATCAGTTAAAATCTGTGGACCAGAGCAACGTTGAGGCAACCTTCTGGACACAGATGTTGAGTCAAGAAAGTTCTCCAAGCTAATTCACCCTTTGCTGTGCTAGGAAGGAATCAAAATGCATCTTTTCCTTGAGTCGCCAGTGGGAGAAGAAAAATAATTAGACTTTGCACATCACACACAAACAGTTCAACCAAAGACACACAGAACTAGGGCTGAAGAGGGTGGATCGCCTTTACTCAGTGTCTCGCAAAGGTTCAGCTTCCTGTCAAATCTACTTTCATCCTGCCAAATCTACTCTGAAGTCTTGGCTCTATTAAAGTTAAGAAAACACTCCCAGGTAAACAAAGCTTTAGGAGACTATGAATGGAATGACTTACACATGGCCCAGCTCGTGGGCTATTGTGAAAGCGGTGCTCAATCCACTGTCTTCACTAATGGAACAACTTCTGTAGGGGTCACAAATGGTTCCCAATTCAGCAAGACCTATTCGGAGAGAAGGGGAGAAACCAACATGGATTTACTTTTAGAAGCGATTGTGACTCGGAAGAGAAACATCGAGGAAACCATTTTAGCCATGGGGACATGCACGAGACTCACCTAAGGTGTCACATTTGTCCTGAGCTCTGCAGATATCCTCCCTAGAAGCAAAAGAGACTTAGGCCATGACAACACCAGAGTAAAGGTCAGCACAGGAAAATCCTCAGACTTCCGGTCCATTTGGGGGGACAGGGATAACCAAACATAAACTAACAAGGCCAGCCAGGGTTTTGCAACTCCCCAAGTGTCAGGAACCATAGATTTAAAGGTTAAAGGTTACATGGAGACGTCTACTGCTGTCTCCCGAGTAGCCACAGAATGATTAGCCGTGCCCCAGCCCACCTCGGGGAAACTTTCCTCAGTGCCTACTGCAAAGTGCTCACTGTTCTCTGAGTTCATTTAAGAGGAGTGACGGGATGGCAGTTGTGGCTTTGGTGTAAAGTCCAAGTGCAAGGGCACAGCCCTGGATTCAGTCTCCAGCAAGGGCTTGTGGGACAATGAGAGTGTTTATAACTATGTCAGAGACGGTCCATGATAAGAGAAACCATTAAGCCAGCATCTCCTTCTTGTTTGTACATTCTTAAAACATTCTTCGAGAGTAGCTTATCACATAAAAATTGGGAACTTTTCATTCAAAAAATTCCTTCTTTCTGGCTTCTTGAAAAAAAAATCATGTAAGTTGGCAACACTTAGACTTAGGTCCTACATGGCAGCCACCAGCTGGCTTCGGCCAGCGGCTTCCCCTGCTACAGAAGGTCATTTGCTTTCAGGCCTGCCTTGCATACTGAGTCCTCATGGGGCATGTACATGTTAAGAGATTCTCAGGCAGAAGGGTACCCTCCCGCACCCTCAGGACATATGCAGCAGTGTCTGGTAACCTTGCCAGTGGTCAGAGTTCTACTGATGTGTAGAGAGAGCAGAGATGCATGCCGCCAAAAGTACTGACGTGCTCGGGGTAGCCTGTTCAACAAAGAACTCTCTGTATAAATTGTCCAGAGTGACTTCGCTGAGAACTTCCCGTGTTGGACTGGCTACCAGCAACGAGGGACCCTTCCCATCAAAGTGGCCTGACACCCGAGAGATATGAGGAATCAGCATTTACCTTGTGACCAGGACAGCAGTGTCGTGCTGTATCCCACCTAAGTGGTTCTTGGCGTGCTGCCACTGGCAAAAGTTTTTTAATGTTGTCTGGGCATTGAAATTTATGGAAGGTCCTTCCTAAACACAGAGAAGAATTGCTCTTGGTCTATGCAACAACACCAATTAGATATGCCATTTCGGATACAGATAGAAGAAGAGAGAAAAATAAACTTTATTACCTGTTCATTATGAATCACAACTAAGTTCACAATAACAATATTAATTAAATTTCCAATACTTGAGTCTTTATAGATAGAAGCTACCTGCAACCGAGATAAATTTTTCAAAGTTAATGATGGACTCTGTGTAAGCAATAAGCAATTCACTTCTCAGGTTGGGTTCCAGCACTTTTTATGTTTCATGCAACACATGTGTTTTACGGTTCTGAATGTTCACTGTATAAACACTGATTTATAGTCTCTTTGTAAAATTCATAGATGGCAGTTTTAGATAAAAATGAACTCTAGCAAATTTAAATTCTGAGGTATTTTTCTTTGAAGCTGAATCATTGTCTGACTTAATAGTTACTTGTTCCAAAGCATTACATATTAATTTCCCATCAAGCACTTTCCTGTCCTTTGGAGTCCTGGGTTCCCACATAAATGCTGGCTCTTGTTCCTCATGCTCATTGTCCATTTATAATGCTCAACAGCAGTGTAACCTGTTTCTGCATTGTTTGTTATCATAACTTACTATGTCAGCTACATTCACTGTCACTTACCATAAACTAGATTCTGGAAGAAAACTGGATTTGCATTTAGTTCCCACAGCAAAACCCTGGGCTAGCTACTACTACCGTCTCGTTGAAACAGAGCGGTCATGGAAGCTCAGAGAAATTAAGTAACTTGTCTAAGACTGTACAGTGGTTAGCAGCAGAACTAGAGGTGACTAGGTTATCTGATCCAAGAGCTGCTACTGTAGTCAAAGGTCTCTGATAGACCTGAAATAATGGGGTGGACATGGAGCTGGGCTTGCAAGGTCTGCTTGGGTTTCCTTCCGTCCCCTAGGTATGAGAGGGCTGGGGGCATATGGAACATGTGAGGACAGAAGTGAGGGCAGGCGGGTGGGAGGGAAGCTGGTTGGGTACCATGTGGGGATGGCCCTCAGCAGTAAGGGAGCAGGACAGGCCATGAGGAGGGAAGAGGCAGCCTAAAAGCAACATTCCGAAGCATGGTGGCTTTTTACAATGCTTCCGGGAAATTCATTCAAAGCAGGCTGTTGTCCAGGTAAAGAAGGGTTAATCCATAAAGGGGAAATGAGTGACATCACATCTCCATGCACCACCAGGTAAGAGTAATTTTTTAAAAAATACCAAGGTATAAGGGAGTATATGAGAATGTTCCCTTTCTGCTTGTATGGAAGTTGTGAAGTCATTTCTCTGTATCTCCGGGAGCGTGGCTCCAGGATAGCTGAGGACAGCAAACCATGGAATGCTGCCTCTGTAACATGGTGCATCATCTACAAGGAGCCTGTGGACAATCTTCCACAGCTTTTCAGTCATCTCGGGGCTACTTATGTCATATTTGATAAGGGAATGATAAGAAGAATGTTTATATGTTAAGTTTAGCATAGGTACAAGCTTTTTTATGAAGTCTGTGTGTATGTGCACATGCATGTGCGTGTGTGTGTTTGTGTGTACATGTGCATATGTGTGTATGCATTTGAGTGCACAAATGTGGATGTGCATGTGTAGTGGTTTTTTTTTTTTTCTGGTAAGCTGTCCACCTTGTTTTTTTAGAGCAGGATCTCTTACTAGCTGAGAGCCATTCAAAAGGGCAGTGTGCCTTCCTCTTCCTCCCTGGTACTGGGATTACAAGTGCAAACCACCACATCTGCTGTTTACATATACACTGTGATTGAACTCAGGTCCGCATGTGTGAGGGAAGCCCTTTGTTGGCTGGGCTAGCTCTCTAGCCTTGGCAAATATTTTTGATACATGGTTAGTTGAATGGGCAGAAACTGGATTTTGAAGGCTTAGTATAGAAAACACTTTATGTAAATTCCTTCATCATAATTGTTGAAATAATACTACACGGGTACAAAAATAGACTAGAATTAATTTTATCTCTTTTGTTACTTTCTTTAAAATGTACCCACTAGAATATTCAAAATTAAATATGTGAATTAGATCATACTTTTTTTTTTATTGCTAGAAGCAGCAGGAACTTTAACAACAGTTCCTCTTGGAAGGTGCAGGGAACAAATAGAAGGATATGTCATGTTAGGTTTGACTTGATTTTCCAATCACGCAGATTTCTTGTGTTTCCAATATAATACAGGAGTAGAAAAACGCAGAAATTCCTAAGCGTCATCCCTAGCCTACTTGATTATCACCCTGAGTAAGAAGCAAGACTGAGCAGTTGCATTCTGAAAATGCATCATAGGTGACCGGGACTCCAAACCAGCACCACACAGGACTACCAGGCTGTGCAAAGCTCCTAAGTTAGACAGAGAGCTTGAGGCTCCAGGACAAACAGGCTGAGGGTCACATGCAGCATCTACGCCTCCTGCTAGCTGTGCCTGACCATAGGCAGGTAACATAACTCCTTGGAGATTCAGTGTTCGTGTCCACAAAATGAGGATGGCAGCTCAGCCTAAGCCCGTTGCCAGAAGGATTAGAAACAATGCTTTTCAAGTAATAAATGCAATATCTAGCAGAGAATTGACATTCACTACCAATACCCACTACCTTTCTGATATAAAGGCAACCAGTGAACAGCCACATACTCTTGGGTCGTTTGCCTGAATGGCTGACATGCCAGCCCTGGCCGATGCTAGAATCAGAATGGAAAAGAAAATCCATCCCCCAGCAGCACACTGAGTCAGCTCATGAATCGCCTTCTGTGTGGTATACTTACAATCGACATCAGGGTTAAAATATAATGCTGAAGGTTTGCTCCGTGGTACAAAACCATTCTGTGGTCAGCTACCACCATCACTTCTACAAACCGTGGGTAGGACAGGAAGCGTTTGGTTCTTTTGTGGTTCCTCCTGTCCCTCGTGCCGTTTGTCTTATTGCTATACCCAGAGAACACTTTCGTTGCCAAGCTGCTCCTTAACAGAGCCACATCGTCAGCCAGGCTGTTCCTCTTTCTCTGTTTTTGCATTCTGGTTTTCCGCTTGTCTTTATTGTGACTGTTTTTGAATTCTGTAAGAAATCAGATGACATTCATTCCTTACACAGCAGTCTACACTTGGACTAAACATTGTGCATGTTTTAAAATGATGCCTTTAGGTAATAAGATGGCTCAGTTGGTAACGTGTTTGCTGTCCAAACACAAGGACCTGACTTTGGATCCCTGGCACCCACATAGACAGGCACGTTGGTTCTGGGAACTGAAACATCCTGGCTGGGGAGGTGGAGGCAGACACAGGCAGACTCTTGGGATTCACTGGTAAGCCAGTATAGCTGAGTTGGTGAGCTTCACATTTAATGAGAGACATGATCTCAAAAAACAAGATGGAGAACCATGGAAGACACCAAACAATATTGACCTCTAGCTTCCACAGGTACACACACACATGCACATACACACACCACACTCACAAACACACAAGTAAACAAAATGCCTCTATAGTCAAATGTCATACAAAATAAACTGCAGACTATGAGCTGTATAAATAGAACTCAAGCCACACTCACTCTGACGAGCCTACGTGTCTAAGACTAGCTTCCCAAGGAA